TTGTTGAAAAAGCGTTTGAGAGAGGCGGGGCATAGAGGACCTACAATAATGTACAGTATTTGAAAAATAATGTGTTTTTTGAACATTAAAGCATGTCAACATAATCTGTTACACCAAATACACAAAGTAATGATCTTTAAAATAGCATCATATGACCCCTTTAACACACTCGCTATGCCAATCATAGTTCATATCTGGACCTGAGCAAGCTTTCAAGTTTTGTGAACATTTTATTTTCTCTCGTGCTCATGAACCAGTATGTGCACATCATGTCTTCATCAAATAAAATACACTCAATTAAGGGAACTGATACAGCGGTACATCTAATCATGAACGCCATGACACGACAGATTGTGATACCCAGCAAACGATACAGACCGAAAATTCAAAGAAGAGTAAACAAATTAACTGCGTTTATTATTTCTGTTTTAAAGATATTTTAATATTCGTTTGTCTGTATAATGAGTGTGTTGTAGGTTTGTGTTTTATTGGTTGTTTTCTGCTTTCTTCCCACCCTCTACACTCCAACTTTTCCACAGTTTTACATGCCTATTTCTGAAGTATTTTTCAGGTCTAAGGTGTGAAAAACCAGTGCAGGAACAGGGGGGTTTCATGACACTTTAAAGTCACATGAAAGAGAAATTTATAATAATACTGTATAAATATTGAATGTCTTTGTAAATAAAAGTAGCAGCATCTTAATGAATAGCTATTTTTGGCAAACTCACTGAAGTCTTGCTTCCTCTCTTCACACTTTAGCACTTTTCTCTGTAATGTGCTACAATGTGCTGTGTGACAAGTACGCCACACGCCAGCTCTACGGCTACTGTCCCTCCTGGGCCCTCCACTGGGACTACAGGAAGAAGTCCATCATGCAGGAGATTCTCAACTGCAGTGCGGATATCATCAGCCTACAGGTTTGTCAGCCGTTCACATAACTCAAGATGTAGAACTGTGCTTTCAAGGTATTTCTTACTTTGGAATAAAATCCTTTCATTGCAGTATTAGCCAGTGACTCCGAAACGGTTCAATTAGGTGATGTCTCATTTACACCCAGTCATAAAATCTACCTCTTTTGTGCCCAATAGGAAGTGGAAACGGAGCAGTACTACAACTATTTCCTGGTGGAGCTGAAGGAACATGGTTATGAAGGATTCTTCAGTCCTAAGTCCCGAGCCAGGACCATGTCTGAATCCGACCGCAAACATGTGGACGGCTGCGCAGTCTTCTATAAAACAGAGAAGTGAGTCCACCATAAGCAGACTGCAAGCCTTTAGATTAGTGGTTTGAACAACAGTTGTTCTAGCATGTTGTTAGCATGTGTCGTCCTGACCTCACTGTTTCTGTTGAGCAGGTTCAGTCTGGTGCAGAAACACACAGTGGAGTTTAACCAGCTGGCTATGGCAAATTCAGAAGGTTCAGAGGCCATGTTGAACAGGGTGATGACAAAGGACAACATCGGAGTCGCTGTACTACTAGAGCTGCGGAAAGAGATGATGGAGCATTCTGGTCCGTTTTCTTTTTCCCCTTGCTTTTTGCTCTTGGTAGATGTTACTCCTTCCGGTGTGACTTCAGACTAAATCTGCATGATTAACTGAAAATATAAAATTCCTCAAATATATAGATATTTAACTATTCACAGTAATATCTAAAAATATTGATACTTTCATTGTATTGCAGTGTTTGGGATTAATGTAATCAACCAGTCCACTTTATAGTCCACCAACCACACAAACTGAAATTTCTTTTGTACATGTGTGTGGTTTAAAACTAGTCAGATTAATAAGAAGAATACGTTTGTAATATAATCATTTATAAGTAAAGTCATATTTTACCGTTATTTTAAGAGGTGTTAGATATAGCATTTATTGCTTAAAACTGTTACTGCACATTTGGCAAGGTTTAAAAAACAAACAAAAATAATGTTTTATTAAATAACGCTTCTGCCAATCACTAGTTTTTCAGCAACATTTAGCAAAATGATTGCCAAGCAGTGGAAAGCATGCTTTGTAGTAATACTAATGTAATGAGGTCGCAGATGTTTATGGAGTTATACAAATGCTTTGAACGAGGCTCAGCCAATCATATTTAAGGGCTGGACTAATTTCTAGCTATACATGTTCTTTTCTCCAATTTCAGCATTTAGATTATCTTTGTCATTTAATGCTCACTCAGTTAAAATGTAAAAACACTAATTTAATAAACATGTTAAGTGTAATTCTAGTAGATATCTATTTTTCAAAGTAAATGTCACAAGCAATATTACAATTCTGTACCTTTTATTATTCTTAACTAAAACCATAAAGAGACATTTTTGTTACTTGAAAAACATTAACGGAAATAAAGTATTAAACTATTTCAACAAGTTGCCATTGGAATTACATTTTCATTTAGTTTACCTTGTACTAAAATTAAAACTGAAGTAAAAATTTATAAACCATATAGACATGTTTACAAAAATGGCCAATGCAACAAAATTGCTAAAATTTTACAACTAACTCAAAGACTGTAATAGTGTCTCAATGGTTAAGTCACATTTACTTTTATAGTACTTTTTACAGTAGAGATTAATTCAGTGGCGCTTCACAGTATTAAACAGGAAAGTAACAGAATCGATGATGCCAACTTAAAAAAACGAGGCAAATCCAGAATGCTATAAAGCAGCTGTAGCAAGACAATAGTGTCATTCTTCAGCTCCAGTCAGTTCAGTGTTGGTTCGGTTCAGTAAGTGTGTAAAGGTCATTCATTACTAAATGAGTTCAGTTCAGTGATAAGCAGCTCAACTGAAGACAGCAGTGTCATTATTCAGCTTGAGTCAGTTCAACGTTGATTCTTTTCTGTTCAATAAGTGTTTGAATTATTAGTTTCATTGATACCAACATAACACTGGGCAGAGACTCTTGTCTCAAAGCAAATATCTAAGCAGCGTCTCTCCCTGCTCTATAGCTGGAAAGCCTCTGCATGGCATGGAGAAACAGCTCCTCCTTGTGGCCAATGCTCATATGCACTGGGACCCCGAGTACTCGGATGTTAAGCTTGTCCAGACCATGATGTTTCTGTCTGAAGTGAAGAACATTGTGGATAAAGCCACTCGCAGTCTCAAGCTCTCCTCCATCTCAGGAGAAACCAATGCCATCCCTCTCGTCCTGTGCGCTGACCTCAACTCTCTACCCGAGTCGGGTATGTATGCCTGAAACAGTGTTTAGAGATTGGTTTTCATTCTTGCATTATTGTTGATGGGGTTTTTCCGTGCTCACACAGGTGTGGTGGAGTACCTGAGCACAGGTGGTGTGGACAGCACCCACAAGGACTTCAAAGAGCTGCGATATATTGACAGCTTGACCAACTTCAACTGCAACGGCAAGAACGGCACCTCCAGCACCAGGATCACGCACGGCTTCAAGCTGAAGAGTGCCTATGAGAACGGCCTGATGCCTTACACCAACTACACGTTTGACTTTAAGGTTTGAAATTTCTTTAATGCAATGCTTGTATACATCTTCTGTTTTAGCTGTTAATTAGTTTGGAGAGCTGTTAATTTGCATTAAAAAAAAAACATCATATATAAATATAAACCTAAAATCACCAGTATGTGGCAGCAAATCATGATGATCATGATGGTATGAATTCTTGGGAAATTCGAGCATGCTGCCGCGTCATTACGGCACGTCTGTAAACATAAAGAAGTTGTCCTGGCTAGTAGGCTATATCGCTTGTGAGGATCCTGCAGGTGACTGATCGTTTTTAGCAGGGTTCCTCAATAGGCGGCCCACGGGCCACATCCGGCCCGTGAGAGAAAAACGTTTGGCCCGCGCTAATTTCACATAATGTGGCATGAAAATTCAAATGCAGCATCAGAAAGCTACATTAACTTACATCGTGTCTACACCAGACGCGAGCGGCGAGATGCAATAAAACTCGTTATAATCAGTGATGCTGTCTTGGATGCGGAGTGACACGACAAATCCCGACAGTAAACTGCTGACTCGTTCTATTTATAACGTACTGACACAACGTTATAGATACGATAACAGTGTAGATACGATGTGACAGCAAAAACATGGTGAGTGTGTAGAAAAGAAAAGGACACGGAAAATAGATGATACAAATGTGAATGGACTGAACAGTTTTGAGTGAGTGACTGATATCTTTGTTGGAATACGTACACGTGTTGGTTCGCAGTGAGTTCACAGTTTTCTATCAACAATCTATTGTTGCTTTCACTATGGCTATAAAGATAACGCAAAATAATATTCAAACTCACATTAGACACTTTTAACATTTGAATAAAGCGCATAATCATTATCACTGTCATATTTTGTATGTTGTTCCTGCCGCGGCATCACAGAAAATAAAAACCGTTCCTAAAATAGAATCCCATGTCGCTTATTGTCACGTGTCACTGTCGCGGGTGGTTAGGACAAAAACTACATGGAAAAGATACTTTTTATCGCG